GTGTGTGTGTGTGTGCTGTTAGTAATCAGATTACTTACGAATTACTCCCATTACTCTAACACTTCCTCTCTCTGTGGGTCAGAGGGCGATGCGAGGGCGGAGCGTCTCCATGGAGACCATGTCGCGGGGCGGGGCGGGGCTTCCCACCAGTCTGAGCGGGGGGGGTCTGGCACACATCAGCCCTGAGGTGAGCAGAGGTCAGAGGTCACTGTGTTGTGATGTAAGCGTGTTTGTGTGCTGACTGTCTGCTGTGTGTCCGCCGTCAGTACAACGTGAAATCTCCAGTGAAGAGGAGGTCGGGACTCTTCCCTCGTCTGCTGAGCGTCGACAGCCAAACGGAGAAACACAACCAGAGGAGGTGACCCTTTATTTCTGTTTCTGCACCTCCAATACACCTCAGTCTCACTCCCAACCCGGCAGAGTCTGCAGGTGTGTCCTCAGAGAGACACTCAGAGACTCAGAGACTCTGTTTCCTGCATTCTGGTGAATGAAAAAACTAAATAATAACTGCACTAAAGCATTGTTTGTATGTTAAATTCTTCACTTTTAATCCTCAGGAAAGCATACAGAATAATTCACACTCTTGGGGAGGATCTAAATGAATCATAAACGAGCATTCATTCATTCACTCATTGTCTGCCCCTCAGAGAGTCAGTGAAACACTTTCTTTAAAGTAACATATGTAAGCTAAACTATGTACGACCTTTTCTTTACCCAAACTGTCACTCCGTTCACTACATATCCTTTATTTTGAAAGTCTAACAGGACGTAGAATATTTAGTCTTGCTAACTTTGTGATATGTGTCGTACGTTGAGGAGGAGGGCCGCTGACCGTGTTTCATCCTCCTCTGATGGCGCTAGGCTAACAGTTTCCCTCTGCTGCCAGTCTTTGTGCTAAGCTAGGCTTCACTACATCTGTCTTCCTCTTCAGTCTCCTCAGCGAGCAGAGGAGCTTCGACAGCTGCCACCCGACACTGGAGGTGAGGTCAGAGCTGCCGTCCAATCCCAGCTCTCCAGAGGCGGGACAACGGGTGGACAGGTGTGTGTGTGTGTGTGTGTGTGTGTGGTGGCACTGTGGAGCCTTGTTTTTATCACTGGGTCCTCACATTGAGTGTGTCCACATTCCTGCCGGTGTCTGTTCTGTAGGTGGTTTCCGAGTAAATACAAAAATCGGACCTTGTTCGCAGCAGCCATTTTCACATGAAACAGGGTAAACACAGGCGTTACCAACGATACTAATCGAGGCTTCGTTCCATTTAGTGTAGCAGAGCCTCTCCAGTGAGCCAACATGTCCTGAATGGAACTGAACACCTGTGTTTACCCGACTATTTCATGTCAAAACGGCTGCTGTGAAAACGTCTATTGACCACCGAACTGTAACATTAATTTGGCCACAACGCAGGAAAAAATATAATTAAAACTTTCCAGGACAACAGCGATTATTTCCAGGATATTTGGTCATTTTCCATGACTGGAAAAACTAGTCTCTTAATCTCCAGGTTTTCCAGGTAAATGTGGGGACCCAAACATTTTCTGAGGTAGGAAAAAGACAGGATGTGTAAATATGAATGTGTTTATCAGTGAACACAGACTGAAGTAAACACAACTCCAACAAACAAACGCTGGATAATGAGACGTTTTGTTTGTGATGTGCAGGACTCACGTGAAGAAGGAGAGCAGTAAGATCTCCAGATCCACGTCCAGCACCTGCAGCTTCAGCATCCCTGCAGACGACACTCACCTGGTGACGCGCACACACACACACGCACACACACACGCACACACACACATTAATACAGTTAATATTAGTAACCTCTCTCTCTCTCTGTGTCTGTAGCTCGCCCAGGCTGCACTGATAGAAGGTCAAAGTTCAAGCCCGCTCATCGTCTGTCGCAGCCCCACAGGTTCACTCACACACACACATACACACGTCATTATAAAGTACCACCGACAGCTTTAGGATCTGACCTCTGCAGGTTTCACTCCACAGACCTTTACGCTGTTTGTTGCTTCCTGTTGTCAGAGTTAGCAGTTTATTTGTTTGTTTGTTTGTTTGTTTGTGTTTTTTCTCTCTCAGAGACGAAGAATAAAAACTCTCCCAGATCCAACCTTAAGTTTCGCTTTGACAAGTTGAGTCACTCCGCTGCAGTAAGTCCGTCTTCAGGTGTGTCTGTCTGTTGATGGCGAGAGCCAATCAGCAGGCAGGACGTCACCTCATCTGTGTCTCTGCGTCTTTGTACTGGATATATAAATATATACTGTGTCTATGTATGTGTATATATAGGCTATGTATATTTTAAAGGAGCTATTGTCAGGAGTGTAATATAATATCCATCGGTATGTTTTCATTAGTGCTGAGCTGTATTCAGTTAGCTGAAATCTGCTAATTCACCACTAGATGCCACTAAATCCTGCTCACTGGACTTTATACTGTTGATGTTTGTGTCCAGTTGAGACTCATTAATCTTCAGGACTGATGTTTGTTCCTCTGAGCTGCTGTGTGACTGTAACGTGTCTCTGTGTCTGCAGCAGGGTCACTGAACCGAGGACAGCAGTGGGAGGTGTGTATGTCAACATTTACTTACTGAACTTCATCATGTTTGTATGTAAAATGATAAAAACGAACGCTGCTGCAGTTAGTTTGAAGCGAGAACAACACAGGACCTGGTTACTTTTGAAACCGGGTTCCAGAGTGCAATCTTTACCCGACATGTGGCAGCAATGGTGGACTGTGGAACTGTGATCAGCAGAGACGCATTAATTACATCAAACACTCTCTCGACGAAACAATAATCAATAATAGAGCTTCACCACCACCTACTGGCCTGACATGCATACTACAACATTTTCAATCGTTTTTGCAGATTTTTTAGCAAAACTGATGTCACCTTACACAGACAAGGAATATAAGGCTGTACTAGTACCTGCAGACAGTACTCAGGGCTGTAGTAATACCTGAAACACAAACATAAACACAAACAAACAGTGAACCGACTGTAGGTCTTCAGCAGTTTGTGAGATTTACATTCAGAGTTCAGACGGCCTCCGTCAGACCTGTTTCATCTTTCTCTTTTCCATTTTGTAGAATAACAACGAGGAGGCTCCCACACACATCAGGAGGAGGAAGAGGAGGAGGAGGAAGAGGAGGACTTTAATGTGAAGACACTGCTGAGGATAAAAAAGGGAAAAACACTTCAACATTCGTCCTTCACTGCTGCAGAAACCTCAGAGAGAATCCGACCTGCAGGACTGTGTGCATGTTAACACACACACACACACACACAGACACAAAAACACACACACACATACACACACATATACACACATATACACACAAACACA